GGGCGGTTCGCTATCGGGCCCGCTCAACATCATCCCGCAAAAGCGTCCGATGTCAGCAGCCTCTGTTCTTTCGGGCACTGGTGCTGACGACCTCCACGTTGGTGGGGACTCCGGCCCCAACTTGACACACGCTGATGATCCCCCTTCAACTTCTGGATCGACGGACATTCCCAGCGTTATTGACTTCAAACCTGTTCCCAGGGACCTGTGGTTTGAACTCCTTGTGCCCCTAGACATGGATGACTATCAGAAGGATGCTGATTGGCCGTTATTGTGGGTCGACAGCTTTCGTTGTTGGGGTGTCTGCGCTTCCCGTCCTGCCTCGAAGGTCTCTGTTGGTGGCAAGTTGCGCGTTTCTTTGCTGCTCAAGTGCCGTAGAAAAGCTCAGGCACTGCTGCAAGTCCTAAACAATCATCCAGATCCGGATTCTTGGGCAATGATCCCGGGGAAAGCCCTTATGCAGCAACATGAGGTGCATCACACACTAGCTCCTTTCTATTCCCGTATCGAGCTTCAATATGTCGCTATTGCCTATGAAGAAGCCCGCTCATCAACAGAACTTGATGCATGGCTTGATCCCTCTTTTGCACCACCCCGTCTCACCCGCGATAACATCGCAGAAACTCTTCTGGATTATAAGCACTTTCCCCCCTTCGTATCATCGTCCCCAGATCCACCACCCCTGCGTACCATGGTACGCCTTTCCTTCATGACAGACACAATAAAGGACTTCCTGAATCAGAAAGACACCCTTTTAAAAAACAAGGTATCTGCACGAAGCCGGAGACGGTTTTTGCTCATCGTGCAAGCTTGGGTCGCTGTTCACAAAAGCCGAGACACTCTAAAGCCATACTTTAGTGGCTTTAAGATATGGCCAAGTGAAGGAGATGCGGATCTTGTCCTGCGCCTGATTTCTCGAAGGATTTTTGGATCCATGCACGCCGAGGCTCGCAATAAGGCAATGGTTGAGGAGAGATTTGAAACCTTGTCATATACGAGAAGTGGGAAATGGATGGTGACAGTTGAACTGAATGTAAATCAAGGGCTGTATTACAAGCCTATCCAGTCATAATGTTCTCCTTTGCCCTTCCCTACTTTCGCCCCCGCACATCCCCTCTCCTGTTCCCCCGTTTGTTCATGTGGAGTATGACTATGTTTATATTTGTTGCACTTTGTTTATATCGATCACATGAAACGTTGTTCGAAGTCACCATATTGTCTCGAACGGGCAGAATACAAACAGGATTGGTCTATTGATTGCCGTTCCTATCTGCTTGTAGATTGATAAGGTCTCTGGATTGCCCAGATTAACTTAGTTCCTGGCTAGTGAAGCAGCTTCGTTAAACAACGAAAGCGCCTTCACCTGCTCAATTTAACTCAGTTTCTCGCCAACGACAACGGTCTTGTTCCCAAATGTACGTCAAGAGAATGCAACGAAGACGGAGATATTGACCGCTATTTCTGCCCACTCATAGATCGCCAGAGCTTTGGACTGCCTGCCTAATAATATTGCGCCTGGACGAGAATCATTTTGCGACCCAACGAGAGCGATTTCGCTTCATCCACCACACGTTCACTGCCTGTTATTCGATTTATCTTCGCTTTATCTGCCCACACATTCATATTGATTGCCTTGGCTTCGTGCTCGCTGCCCTTCTGATGGCATCGTCGAATTCTGGCCTTAAACTCATACTGCGAAGGGGCCAAACTTCAGCCTCTGATCCTGCTCCACCAGTTCGTCGATCCGCCCGCGTGCGCGCCAAAGCTACTGGCCGCAAGAGAGGGTCGAAGAAGACAAACACCTCAAATCGTCGTACTGCCATAGCGGGTGCTGCAGGGTGTGATGTCGTCGTAGGCAAAGATATTGATGGCACCAACCAAACTTCGACCACCCAGCTTTCGTCTACGCTTTCGTCTATTACCGTCCCTCCAGCTGACGGTGGTGATGTCCAACCTGGTACCAGCAATGAAATCCAACTCTCTGCCAGTGCTGTGACGACAGTGTCGTTGGACGCTGTTGTACAACCCACACCGACCTTGACACTTCCTGGCAGAGCGCAGCCATCCTCCCGCACTGCAGCAGCCGCATGCAGCGATGGAAGTATCATGCACTCACCTGCCACGGTACCCCATGGCATCAATGTCGCTATGTCGTCGTCCCCCAGTCACAGCAGTGGCAGTGGCACTCTGCCGTCTGAAATTTCTGCCAACTGTCCCACTCCACCATCGTCTGCCCAGAGTGGGGCCGGTGATGTTACAAAGGATACCCATTGCGACGTCCATACATCTCTGCCTCCCAACGGCGACATGGTAGCCTGCGGCATCAATGATGAGACTCTGTCGTCCCCCACCCGCAGTACAATCGACGTGCCAGCCACATATACCGGCAATCCCTCCGAGACTCTCAATCTCGTCAGTGATTTGAACCCCTCTGACAAGGGCGATCTTCATGCCTTGAGTGAGCATGACGAAGCGGATTTGGGAACCATCGGCATAGATGATGATTTCAGTGCGAAGCTAAAAGGTGGTCGACTCAACAAATCGGAAAAGGCGGAGCTTGAAGGGATTACCCAGGGCTTCCTGAGGGAGATTGATGCATTTGCGAAGTCCAAAAATCGGACATTCGATTCCATCCTCGCTCTTGTCAATCTCATCCTTACGCAGAAGCAGCATCGAAGCCGCGGGAATGTGTGGAATGCTTTCCAAGCTTCCTACCTTGATTCGCACCCAAATCCGGATCCCGACAGTATCTCTGCTGCTGAATATACGAGGACAGTAGTCAGGCCTGCTTACCAAGCCCTTGTTGAGAGCCACGGTGGCGAAGATTCATCGGAATGGACAAAATACTCCCGTAACCTTGTGTTTCGACATGAGGAAAGCAAGCTCCAGTTCACGGACGGACTCACTGGTAGTGCCGGTCAAGTTCAAAAACGAGTCATGAAAACTTGGTCGAAGCGACTTGTTGAGGAAGTCAATGCTGCCACAGCGGTTGGTTTGCATTGTGCCATCATCCTGGTTTCTGGCAGCAGCGAGCCCATGCCCCATCAGCTGGACAAAATCTATTGTGGTACTCCGACGTTGACGAACTACCTGAAAGGCATCATGCCTGACTTCAAGGTTGCCCTTCATCAAATCGCTATGAATGTTAATGCCATGATTGGCCGCGGTGGCGCTCGTGCCCCGAACGGGAAGAACCACCAACCTCCTGAACCCACGAAAAAGCAAGACTATCGATCGGTGTGCTCAGACTATCTTATGCAAATGATGAAACGGAGGTCTCTCTATGCCGAGAATTGCAGGCGCATTGACTGGAAGAAACTTCCTCAAAAATTTCAGTCAGCAGACGTTGCTCTCATTAACTGGCCAGATAGCTTAGACTGGAAATCGCTGTTCTGGGACCAGGATGTCAGTAATGTTGGCACAGCACAGTGGCGGGTCATTTGGAATGCATTTTTCCATGAAAATGCCGATGTCAGGCCCACTCTTCGAGCGTTCAACCGCAGCGAGTACGGCGACGACGACGGGATTATCATCAGCACTACAGGCCGTGTCCTGATTTCTTTCAAAGAAGCGAAGGACCCATCTTTAGGCAAACGAGAGGATGCAAGTGACAATGACAGTCATGGTCATGTCGAGGACTCCACCCCACCTCCTAACCCTCGCCGACGCGCTGCCGGGAAACAGCCTGCCCTGATGAAGAAACGGGCCAGGCTGGCAACACCCAGCACTCCGACAACCCCCCCCAATCCCATCTCTGTCGATATGGACTGGCAGCTGCCCACTGGGTCGGTAGGCCCACATCATTACCAAGTAATGGGGCAGTCACTTCCAGGTCCTGCGCTGCAAGGGAATTCAGCTGCAGGAGGGGTACATCCATATCTCGGTCCTTCTGGGGTGGTGCCCTTTGTTAGCCACGGAATGGGATTTAATAATGGCTGGTCTCCGTTTGCACACCATGGGTATGATTCTACTTGCATGATGCCGTCTGTGTCTCATACCCAAGGTGCTACTTTCATGACGCCGTCTGTGTCCAATCCCCAAGATGCCACCTTCATAATGCCATCCCCGTCCAATCCCCAAGGTGTGCTAGTCTCAGGTCTTGATTTCTCTGCGGAAGTTCATAATCCCTCACAAGGCTCCTGATCCGCATACCCTTTATCATATCCCGTTCACTCTTTCCTCTTCGAAATTTCGACTTTTTAACCTTCGAGATAAATTCCGTTAGCTGCTGTCTATCACGTAGCACCAAATACTCTACACTTTCACGGTTGCGCGTGCACCGATTGTCATATATTGCGCATTACTTCTATTCATGTATATACGTTTGCGTACCATAGCCAATAATAATGTGATTTAGACAACGCTGACGATGCGGAGGACGATCTCCATGAGTATGTGGACGGTTAGGGCATCCCTCAGGTAGTATAAAACATTCTATGGCATTGCTGAACGTTCTATACAGTCAGAGAACGTTCTAAATGTTCGTGATGAACGTTTTACATGTTCAAATCAATACAAAAGAGAAAGTTCAACGAGCCTTAGAACGTTCATATGCATTTAGGCCTGTTAGGCCGGAGATCGAAAGTTCAATTTGGGTACCTAACGAGGCCTTCTACCTGGGTGTCCGTGGTGGTCTCAACGATCGACGTCGACGTCAACCTCGTCGCACACTTCTTATGCTCTCCATATGTACTTCGAGTTGGGAGTTTGCTTGTTAGTCCTTCTGGTGAAATTACCCGAGTCCGAGGCCCCCAAAACTTAGCATACGGATCAAGGCTCAGCCCGACAGGTCGTCAACTAGCTAGCTTGAAGGTCATTGTGCAATTTCATCAACTCCAGAAACTCAGCTGTGCGCTTGTCAAGAGATGTTGAGAACGAGTTAAAGGAACTAGAGATCTGAGGAAGAAGAGTTCTAAAAAATTCGTTCTCTTATAGGCGAACAGCACTCAGTGGTGAGAGGTCGTCGAACAATGATGAAAAGTAAAAAGTAAAGAAACTTGGACCATATAACAAGATGAGAGGGTAAAAGGTAGGCAATAAGATGTGAGAGCCCTGGAGGATGAGGAAAAGGAGGGTAGGCAAGGGAGCCTGAAAAACGAGAATATGGAGCATCCAACGACCCATGCAGGCGAGCGACGGTGGCATGGAGGAGTGGGACATTATCGACATACAGCACCTTACGATAGTGTTTGGTCACTCATGTAGTAGGACCTCGAAACACCCCCGCTGGGAAGCGGCGCTAGGGTGATCCCTTCGAAACCATCTGAACCTTCCAAAAACGTATTGGCATCTTTGTTTGACCGAACGGACTAGCGAGGAGAATCGGCGTTCGTGTTCGGTTGGAGTTCCACCAGATTTTTGATGAAGTGAGCCTTGGTTGGGCTACCCCTTCTCTGTATCTGATTCGGTATAATCTGGTCGCGATGACCCGAAATTTCTGCATTTCCTGCACTGGGTGATGGGGGCGTCTGCAGAACTTGAAAGGTGTGTGAGTCCGACTAAGGGGAATGGTAAGATAATGATGCGGGATGAAAAGTATCCTTCCGTTACCTCGTTAAGGTTCGTCATCGCAGCACTTGCTGGAAATGCATGCCTGTTCCGGAGTTGGCTAGAGTACTTTTGAACGGAGTCACTTGAAGCTGAAGAGGTTGCACGATCCTTGGCATCCGGCGAGGAGAGTTCAATGGGTGACTGAATCGGTTCCGCGAGTTGCTTAGGATTCTTCTGCTTTCGCTTCACTGAAGGTTTGGTGCATGAATCAAGACGTGCCTCGTCCATCTGCTTCATGTAGTACCAAACACCAAAAACAGCCACTACAGTGACCACGCTTATGATCACCACAGGTACAGCGGGTACTGGCATTGTAAAGTGGGGGGGGTGGCGGGCACCGGTGGAAATGGGCGTCTTGTGACCAGGGGCTAGGATTGCACCCATTTCGAACTTTATAAAAGAATGGTTTTGTAATGAGAATGGGAACTATATGTATGATTTGCATTTGCGGAGTCCCTGGGATGGGTATCATGTAATGTGGTACTCCAAATGTTGGGAATCATAATGACTGCTGTCACGAAGATGAGGAAACCGGCGCGAAACCTCTGCAAAGTCGTAATATAATTGATCTACATACTCTATGTAGAGGAAGCATTCTTTCGAATTTGACTCTTACTTACTCCAACTCATTCAACACTGATTGCGGCTTCATGTTATTTCCCAGATCGTCTAGATCTTCTTCCCAATATATCCATTGTCAAGCAAAATTAAGTAGAAGTACGGATTTCCCTGAGCTGGAACAGGCCATTTGCAATCAACAATATCGATTCTCAGTCAGTATTCGTCACTGTGTGTCTGAATCCTCAACACTGCCTTTGACGAAATGCTCTCTTACTTCTTTGTACATGAGGGAGCAGTGGCGCAACGGGGGGATATTGCATTTGCTAATGCAGCCGAAGAGTTGCATCTATTTTCCCACCTGTGACTAAGTATGTAAGATGTACCCTGGATCGCTGCGAGACCGAGCATACGTTTCAAATGAAACAACTGAATTTGGCAATTCCGCGACAATACAATTATGTAATATAGCAAAGAAGCGTCAAATACCGAGTTCACATTTATTTAACTTGCCGGAAAGCGGGTCGGGCCGCTGGAAATCTATTCACAGCAACTGCCAAACTTCCTTGCTCAAGGTGACACCCCAAGGAAAATCACCAATTATCCGCTGAGAATTATAGTGGTTGGCTAGGCCTTGTATGTGTAACATGCGGGCCCAAATCAGAATCTTCCGAGAATTACCCCATGCTTTGTGCTCCAATCGCGATGCTCTTAGGTAACTTGATGTCATGATCGTCGCTAATACTTGTACCACAGCATAAGGAACGTGTATCCCTCACCTAATTCAAATGATTGACGCGCGCCCAGGAGCGAATCGATAATTGAACCTGGAAAACATTATTAATTGCTTCCCCCCTCCCCCACTTGTTCCCGCCATTGGACGACAACTAGTGTTTCTGTTCCCATGCTCGGTTCGGCGCGTGGTTGCCTGTGTGTATGTGCGGGCGGGAACACGCATACGTACCTGCCTGCAGCCAGATGGGGATGCGGAAATCCAGCGGACAAGCGCGCTTCAACTAGGGAAAAAGCGGTGATTGTATATTGACTAGATAGGTAGACATCTGCGCATCCAATTTTTTTTTTCTTTATGCAGCGGATCTGCCAATGCTGCACGGGCTCCGTGCATGGGACTAATTCAATCATAACATGCCAATTGCCCGTTGGGAATCATAATGACCACTGCCACGTTACCGTTCTTCTTTGGATACTTTCTGGACTGATGAACGTTCAAGTGAGAGTCCTGATTACAGTACACAGGTTTTTTGTGTATCAAAATACAACAAGAAAGGATAGTGAGGTATTGAGTCGAAGAGATGATTGACGCGCGCGCACGTTAGGGAGAGCTGGCCCCATTTGCTGTGGATCACAACTATCACTGCTGTGCATGTGGTCCTCTGTTGCTCAGTTCTGCTTGGCGACATCTCTGGTGCGGAACTGAGGCGTTCATTTGAGGGATGGCTCTGATTCTCAACATCACCCCAATCGAATGCCCACTGACTTTGTTCGTTTGCCTTACCGCTGCTGGGAAGGTTATTGTCGATGAGCTACGGTTGTTCCCCCTGGGGTCCTACCCCGTCGACAGATACTATCAAGGGACGAGGATGGTATTTGTAATAGGCACTCTGGCGAGTGTCACCGGAGTAGGAGTTGTCCTTCTGGCTGCGCAACGGCTAGATAGGTTCCGAATTTGCTTCAGATCCCTCAAATTTTCGAATAGGTGGTCAGGGCCTACAATTGCAAATCCTGGACGATATTCTTCCCATTTACTGGCTTAATATCAGGCTCGTACCCAGTCGTCGTCCACGGAGCGACGACGACTGGGTACGAGTCCGGTAGTAGACTAGACCCCTGGTGTGGAGTTCCCCTTCTAGCTGCGCGCGCGGCGCGTGGTTAATGAGCATCCAAGCGATACGGTGGGATTACTTATCAACCCCAGATACTGGCGAACCTCACTTAACAACGCTATCTTCATGAGTTGGAAGAATAGCGGATCAGTAGGGTTCCAACTCACTCACGAAAGTGGAGTGGGATTCAGGCCCTGAGCATTCGAGCGGCAAACTTCTTTTGGTGCAGTACTCTTCTTTCAAATCTGTTTGCTGTGTCATTATGAACCCTAATGTTGAGCGCAAATTAGCTTAGATTACTAGTAAAGCGCGCGTGCAACTAAGGGGTCTTCCATCATTCGGCCAGCACTGGGGCCTGTCACAGCGAGAGCAGCCGACTACCTTGCGACCCGGCATTTATTAATGATCGAATTCGCGCCATCCTTGCTGTCGTGCAATGTTGGGATGGGGATGACGCACTTACCGCCGCACGGACGTGTACCCATGCGTTAATCATGTTCCTCATTCAACTAAAGACGCTGAAGCTATATGCATGTACACGCCAAAAAAAATGAGATCAATGACGCCTGGCTGATTGGAAATATGACTCAGTGGGTCGAACGGTCACGTTCGCTTGGAGTGCCCGGCACTAGCTTTTGAAATGATGTTGGATACGTTCGGAGCCCCGGAGAAATGAGAAACTTACGAGTCGCGTACTAAGATCCAAACCACATGAGTAAGAGGAAACTGAGGCGAATGAATCGTCCAGAAGGGGAAGTTTGGAGTTACAGCTGGCCCGTAATGGGTAGTGCTTATGAACTGACTTAGCGTTGCGCAACTTTTGCATTATCAGATGAAAGTGCTCGCTGAGTACTTCGAGCCTCGACTCCACCATCAACTATCATCCTATTAACCCTCTCGTTCTCCCTAAAATCACGGAGAATCAGCCAGAACCAACAAGAAGAAAACCCTCGGGAAAAAAAAACTCACACTTGAAGCCTCCCTTGCCTAAACGACGTCAGCCTCACTATACCTCTTCTTATGCTATCCACATGCACCTCGAGTGGTACCCCGCCTACCAATCCCCTGGTGGACCCACCCTCTCCTCAGCCCCAGAACTTAGCGTACTGATCCCAGGTTCAGCTACGCGAGCACGAAGCTCTTCAAGGTTCTCCTGCAATTTTGTCAACTCCTCGATCGTCTGAGATATCCGATTGCGGGCTTCATTACGATATATTGAGAGCGAGCCGAGAAGCCCAATGTAAGAATCTTGGGTTCTCAGACGGCCATGGTTGCCCCCTAGGAAAGTCCAAAATTCTGCAAGCGAACAAACGCAGTGGTGGGAAATTTGTGGATCTATTCATCTCAGTAAGGACTCACCAGTCTATCCTTCTCTCTCCTGGCCATCGCGCCCTCACGACCGATCAATTCGTTCATGATGTTCAGTCTCCAGGCGGTTCAGGAGTGCTAGATTTGCCTCGGCTTCCATAATCAGTCGTTGCAAGTGCGACGCTAAATGATTCGAGGCTTAGAGAAAGTTTGAGACGAGGATATCGTGATTCCGCGCTCGCCGCAACTCGGCGCTATTTAGGAATTCCGGGAGGGAGCGGTCAATAAATCTTTGGAGAGATGAGGCAGATGAAGGGAGTGGAGGTGGAGTCGTCCTGTGGATCTCTTCTAGTCTTTTGAGAACGTACTTGTTGGATTGTCAGAACTTGCGCGAAGGAGCAATTCTGATGTAAGATGTACGCTAGCACACTATCAACTGTACCGCCGACCTTTGCACCCAAGCGCTGAAGTCCCTTCGTATTTCCAACAAAACCATTGATCGACTTCAATAGTTCTTCCTTTGATGGTAAATCGCTGAATTTGACAAGAACAGCTGGATCTCAAACTGCGGCCTCCGAGTTTCGAATATCGTATAAGAGGGAGAGAGAGGAGCCTCCGGCTGGAATACTAGAACCTGATGCAGCATCCGTCGTTTGTAAGGGTGCGCCTGATGTAAGGGCCAGAATAGGTTCAAAGGCCTGTCGTATGGCGATGAATTTCGTGTAATCGAGATCGACCGCTACAGGCTTTAGGACGTAGGGACATAGGGGAAGTAGAGACTATGATAGGGGTATTTCAGATAGGAATGAAGAGTCGGCGAATCTCACGGTCGATTGTGTTTGTGGTTTTGGCAAGGATGAAAAGAATGATGTACACTGCGACCGCAAGACTGCTGGAGGTGGGGAAAATATGTTAGGGGAACGAACTTTGGGCTACCGCTAGACTCACAGGGGTTTCTGGAAGAGCCAAAGTACTGAGCGTAAAGCGCCTATAGAGGTCGCTGCGAATAACCACCGAAATCCCCTGAATGATTTGGATGATTGAGACATCAAGCTTTCGCCTTCGTCCCCGAAATCAGGGTTATCCCTGCGGCTGGTGCGGAGTATCGGCGCAGTCCGATTAATCATCTTGGCCCTCGTTGAATTTCTTGTCGCAGGAATAGCAGACCGGCTTGATGACGTGACTTCGAGGCCAGATACTTCTAAGACGTGGTCCTGGTCGTGATTTCTCCTCTTGTATTTCCGTCTGCCCATTTGCTCGCTTTTGAATACTATGATTAACTACCGACCTCAATTTCGAGCGCGCGGGCACTTAGAGAGCTGAAGAGAGGGAAGATACAACCCCAAATATCCAGAGGTCGTAAGAGGAATTCCGGTGTCCAAACAGACTAATCACTGCATTTTGGGGTCCCATACCCTGACTATGTCCGACTCCCAGTATGTGATATCTTGGTGGCAAGAAAAGCTTGGGTGTCAGATGTGGATGAATGCCAGGTGATGATCCAAAAACAGATACAGATCAGAGGCAAATCATTGGCACACCCTGATCGTTTGAGCGCCTGTTTGGTGCATGTGCAGGGTGCCAAACGACCATGAGCGCTATTATTTCCCTGCATTGTCTGTTATCTGAAACGTCCCCAATGTGTTCTTGCCAGTCACGTTGAACTCACCATTCTATATACATCCCTGGTTGGTAAGGTCGAATTGTCTCGAGGTGAGAAAAACCTCGATGTTGGCTGGTAGCTTGGGTACCCCGTCTCGAAGTATATCGGCTAGGTCCTCGAACGCTTGCTGCTCGCATTCATCCAAGATATCACCATAGGACGATCGGAGGGCAACGCTTTCCGATGGAGAGGCTCAGCCACTAATTTACTGAATTGCATTGTGAATGGGGCAGTCGCGAGAGTCGGATCTTTCTTAAGGGCAGATATGACTGAGGTGCGATAGGTAGGGTCGTGCACTGCTAGAGATCGAGCCATGCCGCTGAACAGGTGATCTGGCCGCGATTGCTCTCCTACTTTGAAAAAGAAGCTCAACAACAGCGCACCTCCATTCGCACACTTCTCTGCGACTGAGTGCACGAGGGATGTCTTGCCAGCACCGGCCACAGCAGTCAACAGCATCCCACGTTTCTCACTCTCCCTCACGTTGTAGCACCAGGCCATAATGTACTCAATGAGATTAATTCTAGTGCCGTCGAGGCATGCCTTAGTCGAATCATGGTGGGCGATAACGGGGTATTGGAGTTCGCTCAGAGCTGAGGCACTCTCGATTCCGCGAGTTGTACTTGCAATAACACCAATGGTCAAGCCCGTCCTCACCTGCATGATGACCGTCACCTTAAGATCAGGGGGGCAACACAATAACAGCGATTGGGCGTTGTCACCTGGAACGACTCTAAAGCCTCACAGAAATCTTTCCTGAGGTCACTGATCATGCCCAGATTGTTCATGTGAGAGATGAAATTGATGACAGCGGGCCGCTTTCCCATCTTGCGAAGCAATTGACTGATTTTGGTTTCGATACGCTGCAATGCCCTACCAAACGTCGTGTCATTACGAGCCAGGGGACCAGTGGATACATGCTGCTTACTCGCTTAGCATTGTAACACTTTCTACACATCGCTTTCCCTCTTCGCTCGACGCGTCATACGAGTCAACGGCCGTGACCACGTCAGCCATTGTTTTGACGATGTATAGCCTCCCATTGATTCCTGTTCTCCTTGAACATCTACAGAACAATAATTATCAGCGCTTCCGTGCGTAATTTCGCATATAAATCGCCACCAATCTTGACCTCGTCCAAGATGAAGAGTGCCCCTCCGGTGGCAGCTTTTAGGGGAGGGAGCAGATCAGACACGGCATCGATTACTGTGAGAATGGAAATTGCACAGTCAACTCCCGTCACAAGGGGATCATTGATCTTCTGCTTCAGTGACATTGTTGATGACGGGTGAATCGCTGGGATGTCAGGGACAACTGGTGATCAAGCGATTACGAATGATAACCGTCCGAGTCGGGCAACTCATTTCGATGCGCGGCAGCGGCACCCCCTGGATCTTTCGAGATGAGCTGACAAGACGATACTAGCTAGTCATGCCTTCTTCAGGAGACCCCCCCTTCACCAGGACACTGGCTGCAGCGCTTCATAACCACTGGGTTCGGCTGGGCCATGAGCAATTAGCAGCCAAAAGACCAACAATGAATGACAGGGCCGTTCAGTGTAAGCGACCACCTGGAGTGATAAGTTTGGCACGTCCACCCGGGAAAAGCGGGAACCCTCGGATCGCGAATCAAGTTTCTCGACTATCGTGGCTAGGAGGGAGTTTTTGGAGGACCTTGTACTCCAAAGCCTGGATGACCCGGTTCTAATTTATGTAATTGTACTCGAGATTCATGGGAGATTCATTAGGCACTTGTAGAGTAATGGATATGGGTGTTTGCGGGTAGAGAATCGAAACAATCCAGCGGATTGTAAGCAGAAAGAAAGAAGAACAGGTCTGAGGCCACTAAAACGCAAGCGAGTCTTGTAGGAAGTCAATAAATTGACGAGTTGGGCATAGATCGGTGTAGGGGCGCGGAAGCGGTCGCCAAAACGAAAAGACAGAATGGTGGTGGAAACGGGTTCAAGTAAAATTTCTGCATTCTGCATACTCACGCTAGCTGCCGGGTGTCCTGAATTGAATCAGAGCTCAACAAATCAACGATTTTTCTGTGCGTTCACTCGAATCGCACACGTTTATTCTCGCATGGTGGAAACGAACACTCACTCGCACGGAGCGGTACGGGTGGTTCGGTTAGGGAATAGACAAGACTGTTCATACGTGAACCAGGCGCGGAAGTTCGGGCAGTGTCGGGGCATCTCCGTCTCCTACCGGTAGAAGCGCCTGGATGGGAGGGAGAATGGTTGGGCCAGGACAATGCCTTGGCCTCACATGCACGAGAGTGAGAGGGTATCGTTCCAGTGAGATCACGGAATTGAAGATGCACCTCAACAAGCTTTCACCTCCCCCAGGATGTCACTTTTGAGGTGAGGAGACGGAACAACAGCTACAATAGTCCATATCGCTGTCGTTAGCAGGCGAACTAACATGCTGCAGTCCTCCAACGCTCGAACGAGTTGGATAAGAAAGTATGGAAGGAACTTTCATTCAGAGTATTGAGTCATCTCTCTCTCTCCTCGTTTCCAGGTTCCATCCCTCTCGCAGCACAGGACATTCATCCTTGAAGATGAACGGAAATCGATCAGGCGTCTCTCTATGAGAAGTAGCCATACTCCAGCTGGTGGTTGAGACGACATCAAGTTCTGGAAACTTTCTCAGACCTGGTCGCGGTATGTCTCAGAATAGAACGATCACCTTGGGGCTCGTGCACGATGTTTATGCTTGTAACCGGGAAATATGCGTCAGCGTTCAGAGTCGAAACATGATTGGAGTTGCTCATGCTGAACTGACTAGCACCCATGCTAATAACGGGCACCACAACGAGTCATTTGCTGCGCATGAGTTGCGACTCTGCGGGCTTTTCGATTCTTAGGACAAGACGGGTGTGTTCGATATCCATCAGTCGTTATGTGACCTGAAGGCCAATATCTCCGTTGTTCACGGGAATGGAGGGGCAGAGTATCTCTCCATTCCAGTGAAAGCAGAGATGTTGATCTTTCGCGATCCCCATATTGACTTGATGTCTATTGACAAATTTCAGGCATTCGGAAATTGTCGCATCATTCCTTGAGAGCACCAGTGGCGTTTACATCGCACGCAGCCTTCACCCTTGATATGTAATGTTCGATCGCACGGCAGGAGTGGGTCGAAGGGGTGGCTTCGTTTGATCAGATGGTGCAGCCAATACGGTAGACGGGTACGGCCCTGGAACCATTGGCTTCAGTGGCAGATACAGCGAAAAGGCTAATGACGAGACTTACGTCGGCGTTCCACCACTCATTTTGTAATGAACAGAAGCTGTTCATGGATGCTAAAATTAAGCCTATAATTGGGGGTAACTTTATCAGGTATGGATTCAACGTGTATAAGCCGAGAAACCATCTCGCCACACAGGGGACTGTAAGCGCTCGCCACAAGATTTCCTATTTAAAAAATTTTCCCCAGCTAGACGTATACTTCTGCAACTGCTGAATGCGGCTTGCCATTGGCGTGTTTTGTGATGTCTGGTGCAGCTGCACCTTGTGCCCTTGGCACGTGGCGGACCCGGAGTGTGGGTCCAATGTCCATCCATTCAGCGCAGGGCAGCCGGTGGGAACGAACCTTCCTCATTCATCACAATGCCAGCTAACACTTAGGTAATCTTTGTTACATATCTCCGTTTTTTGGGTAGCATTCTTGATGAGATGGGCTTGGTTTCCTAAAGTTTCCGCAACGTTCGAACACCAGATCGCGAGCTCATCTGGTCTGTCCTCTTCCAATCGTTCAACTTTGTATGAGCATTTCTCCACGCTCATCATAAACGGAATGAGATGGTTCATGATCTGTGTCTCGGGAGAAATCCCTTACCAAGTTGGAATTGACTGAATCGGCTGGGAAGATCTGGATACTTGATCTCATTTACGAAATATTGCCCTAACAGCAGCTGAAGGGTCCATGTCGCATTCGTGGAAGCGTCGGTTGGAGTTTTCTTTGCCACCAAGTGGCGTCGGCGACACCGTGCACCGCTACACTCTTCAGCGAAGGTCCCGGTATATCCAGGCATGCGGCAAACTTTTCGGCCCAGTGCAGCGATGGTTTCGGGGCATGACCTGTCAGGGGTGCGCAAATTCTTCTATATACAGTCAATTCGGTTAATACGAATAACCAATCTGGCTAATATGCTGATGCATCGCCTTGATGACCGGATCTTTCCTAGCCATCTTCCTAGCCAAAGAGTGAATACGTCTTCCCAACAGGCCCTCCTGGTGTCACCTTGTATCGTCCCCCAATCTCCTGCTCACGGATATTGTAGCGGGACGTTTTGGGAGCAGTTTCGCAGTTGAACAAAGCTAAACGGTGCACTGGCTGACGAGAAATCTCGGATTTTGTGAAATATCAACTACGTATTCTGGGATCATGTTCATATCGCCAGTTGGAATTTCGACGAAGAAGGTGGCTGAATTTGGAAGGTTTTATTCATTCTTTCAGCAGTCTGGAGCTTGGTCATCACGAGGAGAGGATTGAATAGGTCTGAGAGGCATAAAAGCGTGGTCTGAGCATTAGTTCTCCCCACCAGTTCCTTCTTCTCCCCCCTCGCTCTCGGAACCCCAGTCGCTACTCGCCTTTGACGTCCTTGGATTGTCTCTCGAAGCCTGGTCTGTGGCCATTCTGAACCTCTTTCACCTCATGAATCAAGGCCCTCGATGTCCCACTCGTTGTCCACGTTGACGTTCCCCCATCGATCTTCTACCCCTTCACTTGATACCCTTAGCGCGTTACCCATGCTGCCATTCGAACCATCTGCGATCCTTCAAGTCCCTTTCTGTACAGGTTCCCTGCCTATTACGCAACAACTCTGACGTTTTAGATGATTTGTAGGTTGTCGATCTTCTTCGCTTACTGCACTTTGGCACCTTGGCCTTCTCATCGACCTGTGACCGACGTGCCTTGTGGATTCCATCGTCTAGGAAGCGAACAACAACCAACTGAATCAAGTGCAAGGACACATGGGGCCCCTTCAATCCGATGGATGCGCAACCGCGGAGCACGACTCGCTTTCGCTCGCAGTTCTGACCAGTCTGCCAGTTCGTTTTTCCCTGCGCCCTTGCTCCCGGAACTCTAGTCGTCGCCTGTCTTCACGACCTATGATCACAGCTCTCATCTTCATGCAACCTGGCCGTGTCTGCTTTGGCGAACTGCTTGTGGATCAGTTTTACTGGTTATCGAGTCTACACATCCTGCTTTCCCTCTATGACCATTTGGGCTGCCCATGGACTCCGATGACCCGTTGTACACCTTACAGATTTGACGCGCTTTGCAGGTTCCATCGACAAAGGAGAATGGACAACAAAGCAGAGGTGCAGGAACCCATACACGCCCTTTTCCCTTTTCTATCCGATGGATGCACAGTGAGAAAGAACGACCCACCTTCCTTTCCGCTCCAACATGTTGTTTCTGTCACCTGGTCTCGACGTATGCTCTTGCCCCGGGCCGTTTCCCTTCAAGCTCTCAGCCTTCCAGCCTTTCGGTCACAACCCACTTCCTTTGGAGTACCCTGTCGCCAAGTTTCTTTATGTGTATTTCGTCCTGGATCTTTCTCTTCTTGGGTAGCTCATCAATCACTATTTCTGGGTCATACTTCCAACAGAAGCGGCGAACACATCACTTCCGTCATATGACGAGTACGTATCATGATTTTCTTAGCAACCAATATTCATTGAACTCGTTCACGCAGCGGTATGTCCCGTTTATTTCGGGAGAGTGGGAGAGGGACACTTTGGCGGGACGCCCTCGTGGCATCGGTATGGACATGTTCCCACAGGCGCTTGCACCTGTTGTCCATGCCCCTTTCCTGTTAGGGTGGAACTTTGCGAGCCAGTTGGCTCGCATAGTGTCCACCCAACAGGTTTGGCCGTAAGTATCATTTCTCCTCTCACATTGAGACTCATGCTGACATCCTTACATGTCCAGGAACATCTTATGTTTCCCTCATTGTTGGGCAAGGAGCACATTTCATGGTAAGCTGATCAGATCCACTCGTGTATTTTTCGCCACTAACATTGGGTTACGCCACTGGCGGGAGCTTCCCCCTACATTAGTCGATTTTATAGCTCAGCTCCGTCATATGGTGCACTAGAAGCATGTTGACTGTAAGTACAGTTCCTTTCTTTTGCCTGAATTCGTGCTGGGATCCGTTCCACTCTGTTTCACCTATCTCAGCAGACGTGTATTTATCCAGGTAGTTGTGTACAATATTACTTTTCATTGCACTGGTTAGACTGAGATGCACGCCTATTGAGCTCTGCGTTACTTCCTTTGGTGTAAGCAACGCCGCGTCACCATCATACCTAAATCCAGGTTGCTGATCTGATTATCCTGTGGTCCTGCAACGTACCTACGCCTCAGTTTTCACTTATCTTTTCCGTTCATGTCAATTAGTTATTCTTTTTTTAGTTTCTCCGCGACAATCCATTATTGTTCACTAGCGAAAGAGTACCCCTATGACAGTTGTCGTTTCTCACTTTTCGTTTCTTGTTTCTTATGTTGTCCCTCGTGTATCTCCTGTCCGGTGCTACTTTACCGCCGTCCGTTGATCTCCTCTATCCGTTTTCTGCGTCTTCGACTCTATTGTACTACCGGGTACGCTACTCTGACTAAGCGCCCTGCCCGTTTGCGCACAAGCTTTGCAGCAAAAATCTGCGTATTGGGGGCATCTTACGATCGGCTGGTTGACGATTTACGAGCGCTAACCGTCGTTTCCCAATGGCACCGCTGCACAGGGACTGGATCCTCAGGCTCCGACTTGCGCTACCGTGTTTACCAGTGTTGGCAGATGCCCTGATGAGGGAACGCCGGCTGGGGTGGTCAGTACTTATGATTAGGCGATAGCGGCAACGCGGAATCCTGGTGTGAATGTAAGACAAAAGATATTGAATATGAGGGGAAAGAACAAAAACAAGAATTCAAACATAAGACACACTAAAGAATCGTATGCGTGACAGCAGAACGCTCCGAGGCAGTAGCGCGCGAGAACGAATACGTGGGCTTGGTTTTGCGCAGGCACGGTCGAGTACGGGGGAAGGAGATCGACAAGCAAAAACAGGATGGTCAAAGCGAACGGTATTATAGCAGTGATGGCACTGGCAACTAGTACGCCTAGACACCGGTACTCCATGAGCGCTCGTTCAAATGAGTTCTGCTCAACACGAAATGAAAAAAAAAGCGAGCAGCCCAAGTGTACTGCTAACTCAGTTCCCAGAAGCGTACTGTAAGCTCATATATGGTGGCGGTCAGATGTCCTGGGTGGTGACCCCACGCACTGAGCTCGACACTTCTGCTGGCACGTCCGTGTTGAGCTGAGCCAGTATACATACATTTCAGGATCGGTACACACGAGATGAGAACGAATATCATCACAAACGCAAAAGCAGCCAAGCACAGAAACATACAAGGAGGACGAGGTCCATGCAGGCGAAGCAACGCATGTGCAGTTTGGGGTGGGGCGCTATCCGGTGATTAGTCCCGTCAAATTAAGCCCAGCGTCGGATAGTGAAGTCATGCATGTCGGATCGTGCCAGTATGACGCTGGAGTTTTAGCTGTTATTATGCATCCATGTGAAACGAGTTCAAAGTTTGATGCCCACGAATGCTAGTTACGTCGGCGTACCTGGCGCGTCACGAACCAAAATGACGATGAAACGTGGAAACTGAAAAAATGACGCGACAAGATCAAGAATCGGGCTGAGAGCGAGATGGTAGAGGGATAAGACAAGAGGTTGATTAGGGAGTGACTTGCGTTGGCCAGTTCAAGCTTCAGTCTTCACTGGTCATGCAACCAGGCTCTGTATACGTGGGGGCCAACCAGGACATATAATTTGAGGCTGGAGAAACATGAGAGACATGCAAGAAACATGCAAGATTTCCGAGTCAATGCAGACTACATGAACGAGGAAACGGAGATAAAAAGAAATGTCCAAGAGAGAAAGTCCAGAGTTGCGGCTGGCCCGTTACATGGGTTGAGGACTGCAAACAAGAAATCATGCCTCAGTTCGAGATGTGGGAACTTTCTGGCCAGAAGCGCTGCAGCGTTACAGCGTAGCAGTTACAATTGAACCACCGAACAAACTTACACTTGTCTCAACGACGTCGACCTCGTCACACACTTCTTATGCTCTCTATATGTACTTCGAGTGGGAGTTTGCTTGTCAGTCCTCTGGCGAAATTACCCGAGTCCGAGGCCCCAGCAATTAGCGTACTGATCAGAGGCTCAGCCACAAGTCGTCAACTTGAAGGTCATTGTGCAATTTCATCAACTCCAGAAACTCGGCTGTGCGCTTGTGAAGATATGTTGAGAACGAGTTAAAGAGCTCAACGTGGAAATCAAACGGTCACGGTTGCCTCCGAAGATAGTCCAAGATACGCAAGCTACTAACAAACGCGGTCCCGAGCAATTAGTTTTATTCATCTCAACTGGTAGAAAGACTCGCCACTTCATCCTTTCTCGTGTCACTGTTACGTTCTCATGCTTGGTCCACTCATCCTTAGCCCCCAAGTTCTCCAGATGTCTAGATTTTTTTGGGCTTTTACGAGCAGCCGTTGCAAGTGCGACTCGAAGTGATCTGAAGCTTGAAGGAAGTATGGACGAGATCGTTATTATGCGCGCGCACTGCAACTCGGCGTTGTTAAGGAATTTCGGGAGGAAGTGACAAACAAATCCTCGAAGAGATCATGCAGATGAATGAGAGTTGTCCTGTTAATTTTTTCTATATAGCTGATGAGAGCGCGGGGGGCTTGTAATGTGGGTGCATCCTTGTCCATTATGTAATGGGAGGCAATTAACCGTACCGCGGACCTTTGAGCTGAAGCCCTGAAGCCCATCAGCAGTTTCCTTCGCGTTTCCTACAAAAATCATTGGGCAATTTCAATAGTGGCTCTTCTTATCGTAAATCGCCAGGCCTTGAACTGCTTTCCTCGGTGTCAGAATTTCAGATGGGAGGACAGTTTCGATGCGCTCGTGTAGGGCCATGAGTTTAGGGTAATAAGGATCGTCTCCAAGCTTTACGACGATGGGGGACGTAGTGGAAGTAGAGTCCATATAATAGGGGCATTACAGATAGGAAGGAAGAGCCAATAAACATGATGCTGGATTCCATTTGTGGCTTTGGGAAGAGCAATCTGCATAGTGACTGTGAGACAGTAATGAGATATGTTAGAGAGATAGACAGTTAGACCCACAGGGGCTTCTAGAGGAGCCAAACCACTGAGCACAAAGCGTCCAAGAAAACCATCGCGAATAACTTCCCTGGATGACCAAGACGCCCAACTTTCACTCTCGCTCGTGGACTTGGGGCTACCCCTATAGCTCGCACAGCGCCTCGGCTCAGTTCTATTCGTCTCGATCATCGTTGAATTACTTATGGCAGCACTGGCCAGCGGCTTGATGACACTCTTCAGAATCAGATTTTCATATTTTCATGAGACATGGTTTTGGTCTTCTCGGATTCCTGTTGTCCATTTTCTTGCTCCTGAAAGTCTCTGAAAACTATGACGAAAGTGCAGAGGTGGGATCTAGTTAGTGAACATAGCGTGAATAACTATGGACTTGACGTGAATCAAGAACTAATTTTAATCTCGAGTGCGGGCGCCGAGAGAACTGGGGAGAAAAGAGAAAGAAAGAACGAACGACCCCAAATAGAGGTCGCATGGGAGATTCTGTCACACTCTGCTTACGGCAGGATACAAGGAAGGTCTACGCGTCAGATTTGGATGAGCGACCAGTTGGGTCTAGAGCTGATCCAAGAAAAACAACGCCAGAGCCGAGGGCAAATCGGATATTGCTGTTTTAGCGCCTGTAGCCTTGCGTGTGGGCAACCCAGGTTGCCGGACGTTTTGGTCTCTATGCAGCGGTGCCGATCACAAACGCTGTTCTTTCCCTAAGTCGTCGATCATATCAAGATCCTAATCCTAATATATGGTCAACCAAATCAGATGTGCAGGTTTTTTTGGTCTCTAGTCTTGTCAACAAGTGCATTTGAGTGAAGGTCGTTGGTTCTACATAGTCGAGACATGAAGGTCAATATTATGGTGTTCCAACTTGGCTGCCTATCTGGCCAAGGGACACCACAAATCAAACCTATCCTTGAATAAGTCGAAGGAGACACAACAGCCCGACCTTCCATGCGAGTTTTGTTGGAGTTAATCTCGGAACTTGTATTTACACATATTTGTCCAGAGATAGGTCGACGGGACTTTTTCCGTTCGGACGGAATGGCTCGAACACACCAAATGGATAGGCAGTTTGTGATTTACAAACATGATTGAACAGAAAACAAGACAGGTGTAGTAACAGGCGCAACAATCACAAAAGTGTTACATACATCTCAACAATGGTCAGACACAGCATGAACGAAATCCGAAAGACCAAAAGGCGACGACCACCATAGAGTCCACAATGGAGAACGAAGATAAGAATAAGTCAAGTTGATGAAATGAGGTGGGATGGCCCGAAATGGGTAGCGCAAGGGACCGGGAGGTCGGGGAACGAAAGCGATAATGTGCGTGGGAGGGATGCTATTCAGAGCGAGCGGTGTGATCTATTGTGAAAGGAAGCAAGAGAGATGTCAGCTTCACAGGTTACATGAAAGGATAAAGGGAGCACGTACCACTTCCACATCATGCAAAAACGGAGATTGCCATTCAAACAACAACACAACCGCTGGAACCTCCTCCAGAACCGTCCATGTCGACGGGCTCAATGGTCTCGATGCGGATGTCCTCCTTTGCGGTCTGAGCGGAGGTGAAGAAGTAGGAGGTGATAGCAGTGAAGGAATCCATGGATACGATGGGGAAGGTGTCGATGAAAGACTTTGGAAAGGTTTGAGTGGGGAACTTGTTTTAAGTGCTTTGGTCAGGCTACCGTGCTTATGCTGGAACCTGAGGAGAAAGCTGGTAAAGCCGTCCACAAGCGCACCTCTTATACGCCATGGCGGTCGTTGGGCGGAGTTGATTTCTCAAGTTGAAGCCAAATATGGAAAGTCTGAGCATCCTCTACTTCAGTTCTACCTCCGCATGTACTCATCATCGGATATGTGCCTTATGAACTCATGAATGGGTATTGTCGGGTTAGTGCAAATATGAACACAATGTCTCTGTTCGGGTGCGAACTGTTACTGGGGTTCCCATCAGACGCCGGTTCTTCAGTCCACTAACTTACGTACCAGCTTTGTCTCCGATAGGCACGTACCTCCGCAAGGACTGGGTGTGTGCTCCACCGATACTAAAGTGAACTCTCCGCACCGTACGTGGGGATCAACAACGAACCCATGAGGTTTCCCCCAAGAGTGCAATATCACCTAAGCGCTGCCCGCTCGGCAAAGTCAGCAGGCACATCTGCTCGAATTTCATTTGTCGTAATCCCCATATGAACGAAGATCAATCTCCACTAGCATCATCAGTCTACGCTAAGCCCTCTAGCTCCGACACCGCGGAGGTAGTGTCCCAAGCCTTCTGGCGACGAAGGAGAAGGGAAGCAAGGGCTAACGGAAGGCAGGGGTTGGTCAGACTGAGGTTGGCGAACGGTGACCCAAATGCGCCGCTCTGACATGAACAAGTCCGACATCCCACCGCGGAGTTCACACTCTGTCCTGAAGAGGGAAGAGGGTTTGAGAGACAAAAGTGGTAGGATGGGAGTGCCACTATTGTTCAGGAGGGTTACGCCCGGTCAATGAGCGACAAGCCCCGATATTTCGGGCTCACGCAGAGGTGCTTGGAGACTGTAGTCATATACTTTTCACGTATGTTTGCCTTGTTGTCATGTCTCTGGGAGGCGGCTAAGGATGGAGCCTTGTAGAGAGCTTTGTAGAGGCGATACGAAACGGCCACCATGACCAGCGTGCGACAACAGATACGAACCTCCACTACTCATAGCTCGGGGTTTGTAAGCTTAATTACTCCTTTTACGAGGAACAAAAAACCGTTCATCCAAGTTTACATAGTACTGCAAGCCTGATCGGGTTGACTCAAGAGACCAATGCGCGATCAATGACCGGCCTTCCAATCGGGGCAAGGGAAATACCCGAAGTCAGATGCTCGGACAATCCCAGATGGGTTGGACATTGATGGAGAATCAATGGTTCGTCGGGGTCATCGTTCCCTGCATGATCGCGTTACCTCCGACCTCTTTACATAAACAATTCCTGTGCACGTCACGCGTGTGCGTTGGGAATTAATAGCAGCCTGACGCCCCAGATGGCCAAAGGTTTGGCGAGCCACCGGCACTCTATGACCGACGTGGCGAGTCCGAGCTGCATTCTTAACTCTCCTTTTGTCCTGCACGGGTACCTGTGCAGGCTGTGGCCCAGTAAGTAGGGCCAGGTCACAGGTGACCTGATGTGGCCCATCACCACTAACTGCGATGGGATTCCGAAAGGGCACGATATCCAACATCGTGCTCATACTACTACTTATCACAGGTCCTGTAACAGTATGAACTGGCGCGTCTCGGAGAACCACTTCGTTCGCCACCTTGAACCGCAGCTAGTCACCCACAACAGTACGAGTTGGCCACTGGACCGCTGTTGCGAGAAGTCACTATGCATCTTACCTCCAACTATCTGTGTTCATGCTGTTGCGTTGTCGGCCTGCTGTCCGGATTCCAGTATTAATTCTTTCTATTTGCACTCTCATATGGTAGCTACACACACTCCGCTGAGAACGCGTTCTCCATGCCTGCTTAGGGCTCGACAGCCTCGGCGTTCTCCTCCGGATCTCTCTCTGACGTGACTGTCAGGTCTTGGATAATGTTCTTGTTTCTACATACCACTACGCGAGGATTTACCGGGAAACGGATTTCCACGGCCATTACGCGGACTGATGAGGTAATGGGGAGATTGTCGCTGTGTTTGCATGCCATACCATTCGGGTCGAGAGACTCAGTCGGCTTCAGAGGAGGTCCCGAGATGAATATGAGAAAGAAAGTGCCGCCATTCAAGGGATGAACATCCTTGTGCACGTCTTGAACACAGCTAGTATTGCCTTCATGTTCTAATGACTATTGGCGTGATTTTTGTGACCTTCCCCTCGAACCCTTGTCAGGCAAGAAAAGGGTCTAGAAAAGGTCAGAGCATGTATTCCCCGCTTTCGCCTCGTGTTTCTTTCGATTTAGTTTCTGAATATTCTGTACGAGTCGGGCGCAGGGATGTCGTTGCGCAGGAGCTGGTTGAAGCCAGGGTACGTATTACCTTGAATGGATGCAGTCCTGGCCATTGGGAGACAAATTGAGAAAAGCAAAGCACTCCAATTAAGGGCGGCATGGCGATGTATTAGCGGAGATAGTTCAGAAAGGCAGGATAATATTGTTCCCAAATGATAGTTATCTGTCCCTCGACTGTGGCATTGTGGTCGGCAAATGATTCAGACAGTCTTACTCATCCTCCCCATTGGCGCTCTTCTTGCAGCCTGGAAGATCCGGCAACGATGGAGCTTGTTCGCGTTGACAGCACATTGATACCACGTGTGTGTGAGAAGGTGACGCGTTCCTTCGATCGGAATAGTTTGTATTTATTTCCTCCCTTTTCTCGAACGTGCTTGCGTATGCACCCCTGACGCCTGGGGATCATTATCCTGGTCTTGTACTTAAGCTTGAACCTAAGCAGCATAGTCTTTGTGACAATCCCTAGGCGCCCGCCAAGCCTCAAATCGTTCATCTTTCATTGGGACCATCATATGGGTCGCCCGGTAAAACTATTTGTCTACGATCTTAGTCGTGGCATGGCTCGTGCCATGTCCCCTCTAACTGGAGGCCAGATTGATGGGATATGGTACGTCGGTTTGCAGTCCTTGCTCCCTGGCCACAGAATTGCAGCTTCTTACGTCTACCATCCTTCACATGGTTTCGTCGTTCTGTCAATTTGAAAAAATGTTGACTCTCAAAGGCATACGTCCGTCGTTGCCTTTGGCAAGGAAATACATTATGGACCAGGGATAGTTACCTCTGCTCCTGGCACGACATTTGTGGGTACTATCTTCCAATTCCGAAGTGAAATGGGTGGGTAGGGACCAAGGCTGACGTCGACCCATATCTCGGATAGCTTGGGTCGCCTCTTCATGTATATGATATGGGCGAGACAGAAATAGACCAGGCTACATATGATGACTATATCGATGAACTAAGGGCCACTATACAGCCGAGAAGGTGAGTTTGGGAAGCAGTTGTACCATATCGGCTAAGACGGTTGGAACGCTATTTTCTAGTATCATCTTCTAGGTACGGAAACCAATCCGAATTTCCATGAGGTTAGCTTGATTAACGGTTCCCTCAGAGTTCAACTGCAATAGCTTCACGAACGACGTGGTTGGTTTCCTCACAGGAGGGACCATCCCCGCTCACATCAGAGGTAATTGCAGATGAGATGTATTTTTCCGTAACATTATTCTTACGCTTAATTTGCGATGCAGAATTGCCTGCTCAGTTCCTTTCCACTCCCTTGGGTCAACAAATGCGCCCCATGATTGATAGCATGTATCGTTCGCGCTCACCGAGCGCCGTTGGGGTCTCACCTCCCCAGACGTACCTGCCCCCGCGCAAACTCCCTCTCCTAGTGTTGGCTCTTCGCTATTACAAAATGTTGCTGCTCGAGCCGTGTCTGGACCTGCTGCTGCAGGGACGCAACCGAGTCTATCGTCACTTAGCTCTCACCTACTTGTCTCAACAAATTTAGCATCATTTGAGTCTATATTGGAGAAGCATAGAGGCGTTATTGCACTATTTGTACAGAACTTGCCTTCTGAGAAGAAGCTAGAAGTTGCCTTCGAAGCTCTTGCCAAGGAGAAGGCCAATTTGAACAGGGTTGCTTTTGTCAGCGTTGATGCCAGTGTTGGCAATGCCAAGGACGTTATAAAGAAGTGGAATGTCGGGAACATTCCTAGCGTCCTGTGCCTTCTGAAAGGAGAGAAGGTACGTAGCCTGTTGGAGTGGTGCGGTCGTGCATTGCATTCTTACATGAATGAGGCAGATATCGGAGTCGGCTTTGCCTAGCATAGCGGAGCTCAGGGCGCCCGTCGAAGGTTTCCTGAATACAGCCTTCCCTCGTGAGTGCGAGTTCGTTCATTGATGCCGGGAAATCACATTGATTGTTATTTGGGGTCATAGCACACCCTCATAGAAGCCTTGAATTGCCTGCAACCCGAGCGATCTCCCTATCTCCTATCCTTTTCTCCCAAGTCCCTACCTCTATTGACGTTCCTATCACGCGCCTCACGTCTATAATTGATGCCAAATCTAATCGTCCGGCCGCTGTCATCAAGGCCAAATCCACTCTCACCTCCTCTTTTTCCGCCTTCCTCAAGCAACGTTTCCCTCCCGGAACGTCAGCCACGTCCAAATCACACGTCGACGTTCCCGTCACCACAAAGCAAGTGAAGGAATGGTCGGAAATGACAAGTGCGCTCGCAGACACCATTCCACCCGTTGGACTCTTCCCCCTCGTTGATCTCTGGCGTCTTGCCGTCCTTGATAACAGACTTGCGTCGACGAACGCTCCGGCGGTCTTACAAAAGAAAATTTCAGGGTACATCGATAAATCGACGAATCCTGGCTCTCTTTCTGACGTCCCTAAACCTGTATTACTCACCATCCTCCGTCTCGCTGCCAACACATTTGCCTTTCCCAACGCCGCAACAGCCTCTCGTGAGAAATCCATCGCGATTCCTGTGTTGGTCGCAGGGCTGTTGCATAGCGATTCTTCGGTACGAAGTTCCGCTGCGAGCGTTGCATTTAATATCGCGGCTGCGAGACACGCGAGTGTGAAGGATTCTGATGCGTATTGGGATGAGCTGGCGAGAAGGGAGGTGGATGGAAGTGGAGCGGAGGACGCTGAGCTGGCTTGTGCTTTGCTTGAGGCTATTGAGAGGGAGAAGGAAAGCGAGGATGTTGGTAAGTTTTTATATCTCGACTATTCGTTCCAATGCTTTTTTTTTGAATGGTTTTTACTCTGACTTAGTTCATCGGCTCGTCGCTTCCCTTGCTCTCTTGGTGTATTTGTCTCCATCTTACTCGCCGGATAGCAACGAGGTGGGCGACATGCTAGAGGTGTTGGACGCCAAGCAGAAGATTCTTTCCAAGCTTGAACCATCTGGTTTTGGTGCTGAAGATTCATCGACTGGCATCAGCAAGCAGGAAGTGCGAAAGTTGGTCGAGGAGGTTGGAGGCGCTTTATGTCCTTGAATGAGATTCAGGACGTGATGACGTATGACTGGTGTTCACAATGGCACTCCCCTGTTCTGTAAATTGGTTAGGATCGTTACGTACATGCATTCTTTGGATGGATTGACACATCGCCATGGCGTTATACTCTAATTGGTAATTTTTTCTTGTCCGCCTAGAAAAATGTCCTCAAATTTAAAAAAAAAAGAATATCAGTCCAACGGTGGTGCAACACTGAGCTCGAACAGTCCCCAAAGCGGCTTGAATCCTTACGGAGATTTGGCCATTGCGGCGGCTTTGCTTACAGTTGCTTTCGGTCTAAACTCCAGGATTATAGGACCGCCGAGGAGCTATGACGCAAACCGCGCTGGCCGAGATGACTCCGGATCGGACAACGTGGCAATGACTAAAGCCAGGTGGTAAGGCCCGAAGACCTTTGATCTTCCATCTAGCGTGAGGAGGAAGCGCTAATCCTTAGCCACGATTAGATATTTTCTGTGTCCGCTACGTAGGGCAACTACATTAGCAATATGAGTGGGCGTGCAATTCCAGAGTGCGCAGGACTTTCCCCTCAGTACACCGCACCAATTCAGGAGCCATGAACCTTATGGTCCCTGAAATAGCAAAGCTCCTACTGGTTTGAAATCGCCCAGGATCCCCAAGAGTTTAAAGGCGGTTATCAATGCTCTTTCATTATTTCCGATGAGAATGTTGTCCTGGCGCGAGGCAGTCGTTAACATGATTAATACACAGCCCTTCCGCAGTGCGCTTACAGGCTTGATATCCCTATGAACGATGGGTTGTTCGCGAGTGTGAAGATATCGGAGGCCACATGTAACATCCCGAATCTAGTGTTCATCGAAATCTTTCGTTAAAGGCTTGTCTGGGCATGTTGACGGATCGACTGACCAATGTAAATCTGTCCGCCCGTGGATTTGATCTCGAATACGTGTGATAAATCCATTTGACATCATGGCGAGACAAAGCCTGCAGTTACTGCGTTTCCTTCCTCGACGATGTATCCGTAGAGGCGAGCAACATTTTCATGGCGCAATCTCTCTCATACTTTCATTTCTCTTGCGAGATGCTGCGATAATGTTGATTGTGGACTGGGTTCCACAATGAGATATTCAGATGTCTGATACTTTTCCGCTTTGGGATCTTGAAGTGTGACTTCTGGAACCAGGAGTTTTAGGCAGACCTCATCCAAAACGTTAGGGCGGCTTACCATCATCATTGACTCCGGTCCTCCTCCATACACGTGAGTGTCCACCGTACCCCACTATGTGACTGTCGTCCTTCCCTCATCATTTCGTCTGTTAAGTTCTCACCAGGAAATCTCAAGAACTCGGATGTTTCG